CATCGACGTTTCACCCTTTCGAAATTACAGATATATCATACTAGCATAGCTTCTACATCTTATTCATCTGACGTCATGTCCTTCTTTGCTTCAGGGGAATTATCTGAAGCCGTATCTGTAGACATACATGGTCTAACAAGGCTAGTCAAAGTGGCTATAATTTGTAGTAGTATAAACTACGAAAGATGATGAAAGAATGTTTAACAAAAGTTGTTTGATATAAAATGATATAGACAGTTTTCATGTTGGCGAAAAAATGGCGGAAATTTCAAGGTCTCATTGGTGTTTTTAAATAGAATATTGTATTTTTGTATACACCGTGTTATTGTGCAATTTAGTGCGAATCCAATGATGTGCAATCGAAGTAACTTCTGTCAATAGAAACGTGGAGAATTGTCGTTTAATCAAATCATCAAATGCCGCCCACGTTTGGTCAGTTACACTCTGCCTGATTAGTGAGTGTGACTGCAAACTTATATTTATGACGACGGAGGACACATTGAAGGAATACGTAAGAGGAATCAATGATTAATCTCAAAGCCCACACGCAGATAAGTGTGAACGGATGTAAATTATTTATCCCATTATCGAAAGGTATCCGCAAGCGTTTGTAAACATGCAGGCAATCACTAATCACGCAAGATGTAATTGGCCAGTGCTGGGAGGCACGTGATGGCTCCATTAAACGACGATTTTCCATGTCTTTGTTGAAAGAAATGACTTCGATTCCAATTCATTGGATTTATATTAAACTGTGCATACAGTATTCCAATTATTATATCCGATGAAAAAACTGTTTATGTCACGTTATAATCCACTACACACCAAACAACTTTTGTTTAAACATGTCTTCACTATCTTTCGTAGTTTCCGAGATATTCTTTTTCATATGAATCCAACGTCCTTAGTATAGTGTAATAAAAGCCTCATACCGTTCGTCAAAAATGAGCTTCCGTTCTTGAAATATTTCACCATAAAGTTTTATTATAAAATTATATTATTATTATACATATTATCATTTATTAGGCAATGTTGAACGTAGAGAATTTGTTAGTCGTTTATATCTACACTTTTGACGATGTTTACATTTCGGAGCACATATTATACATAATTCGATACAATTAGTGGGATGGTACGTATCATAAAATCGTGGGAATCATAAATTCTCGGAACATCATCTTTGATGATCGCTGAATTTTTGTCTAAACAGTCACTTTTTATTTAACCATTCTTTTTCTAAGCACACCACAAATCGAACTGTAAGTCTTGCTTGTTCGTATTATTCTTTTATACTGGGGTGGCATGAGGCTTTTATTACGTGTAATAATAATTATATCAGTCTTATCATAGTCAAATTATACCCAGTCTTATCCTAAAAGCAATTTCCATACGCGTGATCTCCCCTTGTAAGCGTTTTATGATAGCTTCTAGTTATCTATAGCGCAGACTATCTTCGGAATAAGTTGCGCGAGTCGCAGATTAAGCGAAGTTATGTTTCGGTCAAGCTTGGTCTAGAATTCAATTTGGTCCGAGTTAGCGTGTGCTTTAGTTCCATAAGTGTAGGTTACACTCGAGGCTTCCACGGTTAAGGTCTCGTTCGAGTCTTTGTGTTAGAATTGAAATGGGCCCGAGTCTATTCTCTTTCTCTCTACTCGCGGACGAAGTAAGGCACGCTTAATTAATACTACCATCAGAGGTGTAAAAGTGGTTCAATAGTACTTTTCCGACTAGTTCCTTTCATTCTGAGTGCTGCTATTAACAGTGGCGCGTACCAATAATCAAAGCGAAGGCCTTCTGAACTTTCTTCCCAGCTCTGCCTTTTACAAGAACGTAATGGCTCGAACTCTGAGGAGTCTTCGTGGAACGCTCGTCCGACGGAGCCACTACCCCGCTTCTTCTTTGACTTTTTAATCCATTGTCGTTTCGGATCTTTTAAACTTGTTGGTCCTTTCTTAGCCAGCAGGCTAACGTGCTCCTCGATTATTATGATCCTCGTAATTTCAGTTCACTGAGTTTCGATTGAAGTCGACGTCGGTGTAAATATGATTACTAGACTACGGATCATTCTGGGAAATAATAATGCTGCACAACCGTTCCACGAAACAGGAACTGCGCAGACAATTATTATTCTCTCTCTCTCTCTCTCTCTCTCTCTCTCTCTTAGTAACTATATTAAGCAATAGCAAGCACAAGAAGCATTTAGTTTTTCTCTTAATAGCAACAACAAATATCAATGAACGTAAGAAGCATTTATTGTAAAAACGAATTGTGGTGAAATATTAAATTTTGATGACGTTAGAAGTTGCATTACTTTCACTGTATTAACATTACTAGAAGAATAAATACATTTTATTTAGCTTCTATGAGAATTTATTTAGCTTCTTCTCGATGAGAAATATTTTTAGTTATTTGTATAATATATAATATTATGTAATATATAATAATTTATTTATTTTATCTTTATTTGCATAAAGATTCCTAGTGTATACATTATAAATAGTACGGTCGAAATCTTAAAATCTATTGGTGCATATTTAGTTTCGTGTCACACGCACTCATTTTTATCGTAACTGCATAAAATCCGCAGTCTAGTTATTACTAGATTTATTTCTCGCTTATCTTATTTTATGTTGCACATGAGTCCACTGTGTCGTAATTTGTTGCACAGAGTTTTAATGTGAAATGTCAAAATAATGAGAGAGGTGTCGCGCAAAATGTCGCCCGTCTTTTGTTACAGGAAAGCATCCGTGGGGAAATGTTAATGATAACGTTTGTATATTATTGTGAATTTCGTGGACTCGAGGTTTAGTGTACATACATTAATTACAACTATATTGTGGATCTTTGTGGAGAATTAATGATCTCGATGCATCTATTTGAATGAAAATTTACTTACTTATTATTAGAGAGAGACTATGAATTCTTTTTTCATTTTTAGCGCGTGTTCAGATTTTTAAAATGAAAATATTAATTAACAAGGTCTAATGGCATTTTTATTTTATTTTTACAACGAGCGATGTTTCAATTCACGAAAGAAACTTTTCTTCAATACGGAATAAAGTTGGTGTCACAGTTCAAGTTTTTGTGAAATGGTGTATCAAAATGAGAGTTTGCTTGAAGATCCGCAGACTGCTTATTATTGTTGAAAAGTGCACAGAGGTAGCAGTTTAATTATGAATAATGTCTTCCTTGAACATATTTCAAGCGAACTCGGCTTTTCAAGTATATCGTACATTAATATTCACGATTTCCTTGATTTACATTTTTGTGCAGGTCAAAGGTCGATATAATTCGTTTACATTAACTTCCACAATTAAATTCTTTGAACTTTCTATTAGTAGACGGATTGAAGGAAACCCTCTTTATACTGTTATTTAAACTACTTTAAAATTTCCGTAGTTCTTACATTGTAATAACTAAACTGCGGACTTTATGCACTTCTCAGCAAAATGAATAGATGAAGTACAAAATTGTGAAGATTTAAATTAAATAGATTAAAAATAAACTTTAAAAGATTCAAAGAATACTGTTACACTTTTTGGACTTATTACAGCTATGAAAAAATTAAATCCATGTTCATTCATTTTTTACTTCTAGCCATTAACATGCAAAGCTTTTAT